TTTATTTATAGATGTGAAGGAGAGATAAATGCGCTACACACAAATTCCAATTAAGGCTGTGCCGGGCAGCTCGGGGAGCTGCTCTCGCCCGCGCTGCCCGGCGGAGGCTCCGCGCTGCGCGCCCGGCGTGCCCGCCGTGCTCGACGGCTGCTCGTGCTGCCCGGTGTGCGCCCGGCGGCGCGGCGAGAGCTGCTCCGCGCTGCTGCCCTGCGACGAGAGCAGCGGCCTCTACTGCGAGCGCGGCCACGACGACGGCGGCGCCAGCGGCATCTGCATGGGTAGGTCCCGGGGCACTGTGTCCCCCCCATCCCCGCACATGGCCCCACCGAGGTCCCTCTGGGTGCCCCGGCGGCAGAGCCACCGAAGGGGAGCCCGGGGCTGGGGCACCTGGGCTTGGGATGGCAGCCCTCGGTGTGGGGACAAAGCCAGAGCCCCCCTGGGTGCCAYGAGAGGCGTGGAGAAGGCCCCGTCTGACACCCGCTTGCTTGCCAGTGCTGGAAGGGGACAACTGCGTGTTTGACGGCATGATCTACCGCAACGGGGAGACCTTCCAGCCCAGTTGCAAGTATCAGTGCACCTGCCGCGACGGGCAGATCGGCTGCCTGCCCCGCTGCAACCTCGACCTGCTGCTCCCCGGCCCCGACTGCCCCTTCCCCAGGAAAGTGGAGGTCCCCGGAGAGTGCTGCGAGAAGTGGGTCTGCGACCCCAAGGACGACGTCATTCTGGGAGGCTTTGCTATGGCCGGTGAGGAAACCCTCAGTAAAAGAGTCGTCGCAAGGGGAGGGGGACWCCGCGCTGGAAATGACCGTGGGATTACGCTATCCTGCTTTGTGCTGTGTTGCTTTTCCAGTCTTTTTTCTTTTTCTCACCTAGCGTGACTAGGGSTTATACCAGTGGTTATGAGTAAAAGCAGAAATTTTTAAACCAAATTAAAGATATTCAGGGGATGAATGTGTACATTGCTTTAAAAAAGTAATTAAGGTAGGGTCCAGTACTGGAAATACCATTTGTCTGATTCCACCATTGGAATAAAATAAAGACAAGCTAATAAACCTCCAAACATTATCCTCCTCTAGGAAGCGAAGTTGTCTTGCTAGTTGTTCTGTGAGAATAGGTTGCATCATAAATACCATTCAAACAGCCTGGCTTGCAAGAGTTTTTTTTTCCATGAAATCCCCCAGTTATTACTAGTGGTCAGCATGCTAACTAAAGTGCCAATGAATTCCTCTCTGTCTGTACTAGAGTTCTCATCATTACTGCTGGCATTAAAAGCATTACAATGTGCCTGGAGAAGCAATGCTTGTAGGCATAGTTAGGGGATCTGAAAAAAAATCATCCCATTCCGAAACACAGAACTATTTTTCCCAATCTCCTCTGCTGATTTATGTCTCCCTTCCTAAATTAATCTGKCAGGTTAACATGGATTTTCAAAAGCTGCTTTTACTGGGAGTTAAGGCTACTGCATTCTCTCTCGGTCACTGCCCTGTGTGGTCTTWAGCAGTTAGTTATGCTGCATTGCAGCTAATCCATTTGAAGGAAAAAAAAAAAACCAAGTATGAAGGATCATACTCTAGACAATAAGCTCTAATAACTCTGGAGAATGCTGTGAAATGTCAGGTGTGAGGCACATAACACATAAATGAACATGTCACTTTGTAGTGTCTTGTCTTTACTTTGTTTTTGACAACAGTGACAGGCTAATCCACAGCATGCCCATGGGTGGATTACCTGTGTTCCTTTTGGCAGTGTTCATCCTTCCTGGACACTCACCTTCTTGGAATTTTACCTTGCGAGGAGGCAAAAGTGCAATGGGGAGAAGCTTATAGGCAAGAGCCATAGGGTGAATCGGTTCACAGGATTCATTCACACTGTTTACTCCTATGATAATTGCTGTTCCAAACTATAAAGTTGGCAATATCTGCATAATACAACTTAAACATTACCAGGAAGCCAGAGCAATGCTCAGAGTTGGTGACTGCTTTGAGTGGCTGTGATAACTCCTGAAATKGCTTTATTTTCCTCTCCCCTCATAGCAGCCTGACTGTAACCTGTCAATATTTGATCTGGTGATGGTGATTCTGGGAACAAAGCACTTTATCTATTAGTTTATAGAATAGCTACTCTGAAATCAAATCTAATATCAATATTTTTTGTAACCCGGAACAGGTTAGTGATGCATTTTTGTTTAAAAGAAGAAGGAATAAGAAGTTGCTGAAGTGGATTTCTAAACTTGATTAACAAATTGGCAGTAGTTCTGCCCATTTTGGACTTGCCTGGACAGAAACTAACTTCTGTTAGTTTTGTTAGTCTCTCTAATTCAGGTTTTGGCCTAAAGGCAGAAAATTATTCTCCTGATTACACTGATAGGCACCTATCTAGGATTTAGGTGAAGGATAGGTGAAGAAAGTTACTGCTCAGGACTTCCAAGAAGGCAACTTTTAAAATGACTGGGACCCATCAAAATCATGAATTGGGGATTTTTTGCCTCAGATCACTTGTTTCCTCCCAGAGAGAAGAGCTCAAATATAGACTGCATTCTCACATTAAGTCTTTTTTGTAATAGAGTTCTGTGGATTTTGTCTCCAGCGTTCAGACAGGAGGCYACGCTGGGGATCGATGTTTCCGATTCGAGTGCCAACTGCATCGAGCAGACGACGGAATGGAGTGCTTGCTCCAAGAGCTGCGGCATGGGCTTTTCCACACGCGTCACCAACAGGAATCAGCAGTGTGAGATGGTGAAGCAGACCCGGCTTTGCATGATGAGACCTTGTGAGAATGAGGAGTCTCCTGATAAGGTAGGATGGCAGCAGGGGCAGGGGAGCAGGGGCTCTCCCAGCAGCTTTCCAGGGTTGCATATTTCTGTCTGGAGTGTTCCGAATACAAGCGGATGTAAATACACCCATTAGCATATGTGCAGCAAGCCCAGTGTTTCTGGAAAGCTTTCAGCTTGTCTGCACGTTCAGGAGCATTGCACTTCATGTGAATATCACTTACACCATCCCAGACGGATCAGATGTGCTGTGTGTGCCAACTCTCTTGGCAGCTCACGCAGTTTAACATCTCCCCCAACACCATTTTACTCCTTGTGTGGGAAAGAATGTGTCGTATTTCTAGTCTGCTGGGCATCCTGCAACTGCAGACAAATGTGCAAAATAGTTCAAAAAGTGTTCTGGTAAATTGAGCCTTATCTTAATCCTCATGGAGTTTCTTTTTCTTTTTTTTTTTTTTTTTTTTTTAAAGCAAACGCAACACTGACACTTCAGGTGTTATAAGTATGTATCTAAGTGACTTTTTTTTTCTCCTTCTACACATTACACATTCTCACTGTCAGAGATGATAACATTTAGCTACGTACATAAGAGGGTCATCAGTGTATACAGGGACCTGAATGATGGAAAGCATGCTGAGGCCTTTGCAGAAGACTCGGTGGAGTTTTGAACATTGTGCTGAAAAGGATGTGAAACATTTGGAAAGATTTGGGGAGAATTACAAGAATGATCAGAGGTCTAGAAAACATGTTCTACTTGCAAAAAATGATTGCTGGATTGAAATGATCCTAAAAGCAAGAGAATGGAGATGAGTTCTCACAACCGTGTTCAGATATTGCAATCTGTTCTTAGTTCATGGTGGATATGACAGGCAGGGATGAGCTTAGATTACATAAATATTAGATACAGGAAAAATCTTCTGAGCAATAAGAGTAGTGAACCATTAGGATTGTCTGGGGCAGATCTGGAGTCTGTCACTGGAGACTTCCACGAACAAGTTAGACAAACCACATACTAATAATGACATGGGCAAAGTTCATCCTGCCTTGAGTCACAAGAATGGGCAATGACTTTTGAGGTTCCTTTTGACCCTCTTTTCTTCCTGAACATGGTCCTGCATCTTACTTATTTGGCCTGTTAATTCTCTGATGGGACCACAGCAGCCCAGGACATTTTCTGGTGAAGTATAGTTTGATGAAGAAAGTTGGCAGGTCCTATCATGTAGTCAGATGGCAGTAGTGAATTTTCATGGAGTGTAATCTATTCTTTATCATTTATTACCGGTATATGTAATAGGTCAGCTAAGATGTCAAGGGCATAGCTCATAGGAGTGAGAACTGGTGAGTATCTATTGAAGTGGCTATACACTCATTGCTGGAGAACTAGCAAGGTTTTCAGAGTGCACCTACATCCTTGCATCCTGAATTCTGCATTATGCTATGATGTACTTAAGGTCTCTTCATATATCTCTTAGAAAGGGAAGAAATGTATCCGAACAAAGAAGTCCCTGAGAGCTGTTCGCTTTGAGTACAAGAACTGCACGAGCGTGCAGCTGTACAAACCACGTTACTGTGGCCTCTGCAATGATGGGCGATGCTGCACCCCACATAACACCAAAACGATCCAGGTCGAGTTCCGTTGTCCTCAGGGCAAGGTCGTAAAGAAGCCGATGATGCTGATCAACACCTGTGTTTGCCACAATAACTGTCCTCAGAGCAACAACGCTTTCTTCCAGCCATTGGAGCTAACGTCTAGTGAAGTGAAAATATGAAATGCTTTAGTGCTTTAATTAGGTGGCTCAAAAGGTATAAATATTTTATGTAGAACTTGACCCACAATCAAGTGAATCTAAGTGAATATTTAAGATATCTAGGATGTTTTTTTCTGAACAATCTAGACATTTTTTCCCTATAGTTTATTAAATACCTCATTTTACATCTGCCCCTCTCCAAATATCATTTTTTCACTTGAACAAAATTTTGTACCTTGGACAAAAGGTATTTTTTTTCTATTTTCTTTTATTTCTATTTTTTTTTTTGTTTTGTTTTGTTGTGTAAAGCTCATTAAATGAACAGCTAGTCCCTCTCCATGAGTTATGGGAATTATGCTGCTGACTTCAGTGGTCACAAGACTGGGCTCTTTAGTAGCAAATGGATTCCCTGGGGAATGCATGGCACTGTGTCACGTAAGCTTCCAAATTCTTAACCTTAGTTTGCATAATATCTACAAACATTTATGCGGTGTTCGTTTTCTATTCTGTTGAAATTCTATTTCTGATGATGGTAAAAATCTTACTGATCAGAGTGCTGAATTCCGTATAAAATATTGTCTCTCTGTAGATTTGACCTCCTCTGAGGATTCAGTTTGCACAAACTTCTGACATGACAAAACTAAGATCTCTTATCCTAAAGTATAGGAGATTGATAGCTGATTGCAATTAAATTACTCTTTGGCAGCTTCACTAGCAGCCTATGCAAAACCCAATGTCAATGACTCCAGTGGACTTGGTTCTAACCAATGTGTTTCTGTAGATATAAACGTTAGGGTGCAAAAATAAGAATTATGTAAATTCTTCTAAAATACTAATTGTATCATATGGTGCTTCATATAACAGAAGGGTCTATATGTAAATAGAAAGTGTATATATTGTAATATAACTTCTCTGTAGTAAGTAAATAAACTTTATATGATCCAAAATATTTTTTTCTGAAGTTGTTCTTTAAACTTTTATCAGTTAAAAGCTGCAATAAGACAATATGTTCTGCAGATTCTGGAAGCTGCAATTAGAATCAAAGGCTCTGTTTTGTGATTTGCTCTCTACACCTCATCCTAACCTCTGACCTGTCCAACAAACATGCAGGGTTTTAGTGGCAGAAAGAGAGGAATAATCTGTGAGGAGTAGTTTAAAAGAATTTTTAGGGTAAGTTTGATTAGGAGACTGACTGATCCAAATAATGCTAGGTTCAGATGAAGTGTGCCCTGAAAAGTAATGGTGGAGGTGGAACAGTAATGGGATCTAGAGTTTTAGCTTGAGAGCATAGAGAAGGTTGGTTAGTTGTGGGTTGTTCATTTTTTTAAAATGACTCTTTCTCCCTTACCCCTTTCCCACCATGATTCTTGCAGCACTCTGATGGTTATGGTTATCTTCCTGCATTGACAGCTGAGAAAGAATTCATGTGCTAGAGGTTTGTGTAGGAACAACCCATAAATACTTCTTTGTTTCGTATGGAAGTACTACAAGAAAGTAGACATGGAAGAAAGTATTTAATTGCACCCTGCATCATTTCTTCCCCACAAGTGCAGCCCATGACCCTGCGTGTGCCATGTGCAGTGTAGCAGGAGCCCCCTGGAGAACAGGCTGCCCCCCAGGAGTGATCTCTTCTCTGCAAGCAGGTGAAAAAAAAAAAAAAAAAAAAGAAAATCAATGACCAAACAGGTGTGTACTTATTTGAAAGAGTTGATAACATCCATTTGGACATGCATGGGATGTGCAAGGGCAGAATTTAGCTCTGTGTTAAGACTTATGTATTTGTAGAACATTTGTACATGTCTGCATGTAGATTTTTAAATGCCAATTTTAGGTAGTGAAGCCCAGAGTAAACTTTGAGCAAGGATCAGCAGTTGTAGCTTCTTAGTAATGGATAAGACATCCTAAGACCTTGATACCAAGACTTACGCTGATTCAGTTAAATTTAGGTGGATCTTTGGCCCTCACCTGGACACTTTCATGGGATGCCTCAGCAATAACACAGTGACAAATTCCTTTGAAATCATTGCAGTTGCTATCCAAGCAGTCCTGCTTTATGCTGTTCCAAGGGCTGCAGAAAGGCTTGTCTTGCCCAGCAGGAGCATGCTCCTGCACCCATGTACACCCACGGATTCGTACTTGCTTAATTCCCATTGCTGAACTTTTGTAAAGTCCATACTGCCTTTCCACACCAGCAGTCACACGCACCAGGAAATCCAGAGTATGGGAGAGGACAAGCCCACAATTCCTCTAAATGGCTGAAGAAAAGCTAAGGAACAGGTCTAGAAGAGAAGTAAAAATAACTTAAGCTCCTTTCATCTCCATGAGGCCTCCTAAAGGTTCTCTAGGTTCTCTAGCATCAGGCAAGCTACCAAATATTTCACAGAATCACACAGAATCACAGAATGGCTGAGGCTGGAAGACCTCTAGAGATCATGTAGTCCAATGCTCCAGCAGTCCTCCCTGCTCCAGCAAGGACACCCAGAGCACATGACACAGGGTCACATCCACAGCTTTTGAAGACCTCCAGAGAAGGAGACTCCACAGCCTCCTTAGGCAGCCAGTTCCAGGGCTCTGTCACGCTCACAGTGAAGAAGTTCATCCTCCCTCACAGGGAGAAGGAACTGCCTGTGTTTTAATTTATACCTATTACCCCTTGTCCTGTCACTGGTCACCATGGAGAAAAATTTGGCCCCTTCCTCCCTACATTCTCCCCTCACATATTTGTACATGTTGATAAGATTCCCTCTCAATCTTCTCTTCTGTAGACTATACAGGCCCAACTCTCTCTGAATCATCTTGCAAATTACATGTACCTTAATTTGAAAGAGATACATCAACTACCAAGCAACACAGTTTCTGATTGGCTAAATCTGAACCATCTTCAGGTTAATTAAACCCAGCTGACCCCAAGCTATCAGTAATTAGAAAGGAAGGTGGTCAGCTACTGACTTCCTAAGAAGCATAAATACTGTGGCTTTATTTTAATAATTCTTTTGCTCTTTTCATACTCAAAGAAAATATATTCCTTTATACTTGTTTACCAACTTATCTTAGTTGTGTTACTTCTCTTTTATCCTTCTGCTTAACCTTCATGTTGTCTTGGTTTCCTCATAATGCCTTATGCTTTCCTTGGACTGCAGCTTCCAAGCAGAGCACAGACACCAGTAGGTAATTTCTTCCTTGTAGGCAAATGGAAGGACTCATCCATAGTATAAAACCATGATCTTTAAACAAAATTATTCATTGCTCTAGGTTTTGTTTCTTTCCCCACTAAGGAAAGACATTTAATGTCCCATATTTTAGCTGAGACATAAGTCACAACCTATTGAGGTCCTTCTTATAGATCATTTGTCACTTACTCTGCAGGAGGATTACAGGAACTATGTTGTATGAGCTAAATTTCAACTCGAGTAATCCCACTTGCCTGTATAATTATGGTCTTCATTTCAGTACATCCAGTGCCAAAATGCCTTCCATGTCTCACCTAAGTGCTGCTTTATGTAATCTCTATATGTCTCCAACCCACTTTCTGAGCAGAAGAGCTGCACTGTTATGAACCTTCACAAACTTCACAAAAGAAATTAAAATACTTATTGCCTATGTTTATTCACATTAGAATTATTATGATCTCAGGGTCTTCTGACAACTCTGCAGCACATCAGCAGGTAAAATGTCTGTCAGAAAGGAATACAAATGTTTCCACTGGAAAAAAAAAAAAAGGAGTCAATGATCTGCCCTAGTTCTTCGGTCTTTCATATACTTAACACCAATTTAGTGGCTATTTTTACTTCACTGTGGTTGATATAGCTTTTCATCTGTTATCATCAGCTTTGTTCCATTCATTTAGACTTGTTTTACCTTAATAAAGACAGTTACTAGCTCAGGCTTCCAGCCAATTTCAGTGTGTTCCTGGAAGAGGCCATGACACTAATTTAGCTAAAACACAACAGAGTGAATTAAGCCTGTGGCATTGTTATRTATAAACTCTAACAGTGAAATCCTCATTTTTTTCTGTTTTAGAACTATGATTTTCCCAAACAAGCAAAATTAAGTTACCCATACTGAGCAAAATTAAATTAAGCAAATTATTCAAATGTCAGTAATTCATTTTTGTATCTCCCAGGATTCCCATCAGAGCATCACTGGGAACATCACTGCACATTCAGTTCCCTGCTTGATCCATAGATCTTCATTAAAGCAACAAGCTTTTCACGTTTAAGCTTCTTCAAATCTGTTTAATGTCGTAGTCAGATTTCCAAAGATATAGAGACACCACTAATCTTGTTTTCACTTGCTATGAGAGTGACTGAAGACTGTGACTAAGCCCTCACAACTGCTCTTTCCTCGGTAGTGGGTGTTCATCCAGTTCTCTGCTCTATCCTGCTTTCAACAGGTACTTCAAGGAAAAATCAAGCAAAGTGAGCTCGAGGTGGGAGAATATATTCTATTTGTCTGATTTGCTAGGGGCACTTCAAGGCTTTTATTTCCTGGCTGATCTTGGGAGAGTAATTAGTTGTTTTGACTTAGTAGGAGTTTTTATGGGTTACAGAAGAGCAAGTGCATGTTTTTATTTTTAATTGCCTTTTGAGTCATGCCAATGAAACAGACACATATTACTAGCTCTTCTTCATTCTCCTTTAAATCTCTGCTATCTTAGGTGTATTTAGCTACTGCTATTCAGAATTCAAGTCATTCTTTCTCTGTGCTTAYACAAATCTGAAAAAAATGGGGAAAAATATATAAATATTGGTAATATAATTTTTTTTCACTGAATGTATAAGGAGATTGTGTGCTGGCCCCTTTACTAGACACCTGACATATTAGAATTAAAATCTCATGAGGAGTATATTTTTACTACCAATTTCAGTAAGATCACAGTTTCACCCTTTGTATTTTCCAATATAAGTCCAGGAGTAATACAATAAAATATGCAGGAAAAATAGAGTATCCTTATCTTTTCCTTTCTTTCTGGTCCAAGCTTTTACTATATTTTTAATCTATTGTTATTTATTTATTTATTTTTATGTGTGTTGGGAAGAGATGGAAGGACTACTATTTCTATACCTAGTCTTGGTATCTTATAACAAATCTGAATTTCATGAAGCAGGATCACATACTTCTCATCTGACTGCATGGGTATATACACACCTATATACATTTTTTTTAAACACAGCCTTCTGCATTATTTCTTGCTTCAGAAAACTGCTCTAGTTATGCCTATCATGGTGGATTTTCTAATATGTGATCTCCAACACAGGCACAAACTTTAGTGTGACTTGTGGGAAAATTCTGCTCTGATTTTCCCACTGTGCATCTCAATTTATCTAGGACAGAGGTATTATTTGAAGAACTCTGACCATAAAATATTTGACTGGCATCAGTCAGAGATCTGCCTTGCAGATGCGAGATGAACCGTTTACTTGCAAATGTTTAGTAATTGAGCTTTACATTGGCTTAAATGGCTGCATCTATCTCCATTAGTCCTATAAATAAGCATTTAGYGCTAAGAGCCTCTATAATAATGATAAAGGACATCTTTAAAATCTAGTGTTTTCTCTACGGGCTGCAGAGGCAGTCTAGATGCCTGCCTGCCAGCCAGGCAGCTTATTAAGGTGATGTGAAATAACCTTGCACTTAAACCTGCCCCCTCAGCCACAGAGCAAGGAATAGCTCATTGACTGATTTATAGATTAGCAAATGTAAAAAGAATATTTATTTGCATCTCTGCAAATGGCTTTACCTGTCCTGGACTGGTAAGAGATCATATTAAAATAGTGAAGAAAATGCTCTGCTGATCTAAAATCCTCCAGTGGTTCCTGTTATTCTCTGCAGAATAATT